CAGCCCTCAGCTGACAACCAGCAAAGAAACAGCATCCGGATCTATAGTTGCAAGGAACTGGGATCTGCCAACAACTGAATAGGCAGGATACAGATTCTCCCCTAGAGCTTCCAGAAAGGAACACAGCTGGTCAACACCTTGACTTCATTCTGATTAAACTTACACCAGACTTCTCACCTATTATAAGATAATAAATGTACTGTTTTGAGCTCCAAAATTTGTGATAAACTTGATATAATAGCAATAGAAAACTAATACAGAATACATACAAGAAAATATGGGAGGAATTAAAATGATATGCCAGCAGGTCAAAGAAGCAAGATTACTAGGAAAGGAACTTGATCATACTTGCCTCTTAAAAATTATCAACCTATGGGCTGGAGATATATCTCAGTCAATAGAGTGCTTACCTTGCCTGCACAAGGTCCTGGGTTCGATCCCCAGCACCACAGGAAAAAAAATAATATAAGTAGATTAGAAAATCACGAGTTCAAAGCCAGCCTCAGAAACTCAGTGAGGCCCTAAGCAACTCAGTGAAACCCTGTCTCTAAATAAAATATTAAAAAGGACTGGGGATGTGGCTTAGTGGTTAAGCACCCCTGGGTTCAATCCCCAGAATCAAAAAAAAAAAAAAAAAAGAAATGTTTAAATTGATGTTGTGGTAACAAATCAATCAGACAAGTTCATATTGTGGACATATATAGGATAACTGCCTGGACTCATCAGAAATGCCAATATCATGAAAAATTAAAAGCAAAACATTGAAGAATGCTATTCTAGATTTAAAAAGACTCAACAATCACAATAACTAAACAAAATGTATGATCCTTGACTATATCAGAACAAATGAAAAGCTATAAAAATATTACTAGGAAAATTTGGCATGGACAATGTATTAGATAGTAGCATTGTATCAGCGTTAAATTTCTTCAGGTGCAATAACAGAAATGCATGTTTTTATAAGAGACATGATGAAGTATTTAGGGATAAGTGTCATGATAACTGCAAGTTACTTCCAAAGGGTTCAGCAAAAAAGTGTGTGTGTGTGTATTCAGAAAGAGAAAACCCATACAGCAAAAAGCAAGTAACTGATGAATATACATTTGATGATATCTTTCCACTTTTCCATTGGGTTGAAATTTATATTATAAAGTAAAAAATTAGTGAAGAAAAGTATTATTTGGATACATAAACTTAACCTTAATGATAATTATAAATCTTACTAGTAAATTTAGAAACAAAGCAATGCATTGACATTTTTGGCAGAACATTTTCTGAAAAATACAAGAAAGACAAAAAAGTAAGTAAGAGAACTGAAAAAGAAGCAACCAATCAAAGGAAAGCTGGTGAAAGTATATTAGTAGCAAACAAACTGGATTTTAAATGCAAGAAGATAAAAGCATCACTTAAAAATAAATATTTGTCTATTCTAGACTTGTATGCACATAACAACAGAGCCTTAATTCCACAAAAAATTGACAGAACTACAAGAAGTTGACAAATTCACAATCACAGTGGGAGATTTTAAATCTACCTCTCTTGATAACTGATAGATTTAGCACAAAAATTAGTAGAGATATAGATTTAAACAACACAATTAACAAGTTTAATGAATATTTATATAACCCTACATATAACAGTTAGAATATACAAAATATTTTCAGGTACACATGAAACAACTGATCATGTTCTCAAGGACATAAGGCAAACATTTCAACAAATACTAAATAATGTTTGTACTCAGCGAAATTAAAATGAGAAACAATAACAAAATGTTAAGATAAAAAGATCCATATACCCATGCCTCAGTTTCTAAATACCATCTCTTAGTACCAGAGTCCCATAGAGAAATGGTCAATGGAGTAGAAAATACAAGATGAGCCTGAAAGTAAGGAAGAAAAGAAATGTTAAAGTAAGTTAAAATATCTATGAAATGATAGGACATGTCAAAAGGACAGAGGAAACAATTTGAATGGGCAGTCAATGACTTAATTTGGGCAATTGAGCATTAAAGTAAATAATGATAGCAACATTCTATTTGAGAAATAAACTAAATATCTGTGCTCAAAGAAATGAATAAATACATGGAGAAAAAAGCTCTTCCTTGAAGTAGTATTTAAACTAGTAATATAGTAAAAAAGATGGAGTTTGAAAATTATCATTTTTGTAGTCATCTTGGTAATAACTAATTCAGTCAAGAATTAGCAATGGATGCAAAAGCTAGTGGAAAATAGTTTGATGAGGAACAGGATATTCACACAGTCTCAAAGAATTCCCAGCAAAATTACTAACTACAAAAAGAAAAATGGCAACTTTAGAGTGGATTAATCTGGAAAACACCCAATACCTTAAATAATCAAAGTTAATATTACTCCTAAGGGGTCACACCAGCATCATATGCCACCAATATGATGGCCTGAGAACAACACAATATTACTTCTGTAGTATTCCTTCCAACAATGATTATTATCATATTATTAATATTACTATATTAAATAGATTACATATTAAATATTATGTCTATATTATTCATCTACCACTGATCTACATCCTCAGATCTCTCACAAGTTTTTAAACTGTTAAATTCAATCAAAAAGTTTAAAACATAAGAATCAAAATCAGCAATAATGCCATCAATAAATACCATACCCATGCTTTTTCTATGTACTTAAGGAAAATAAGAGTTATATATTAACAAATTATATTGGGATAAGAAGCCAGATATAATAATATGTAACAAACTTAAATTGAAGAACATTCTACCAAATGATTGCCCTGTATTTTAAAAATTGCCAGTATCATGAAAGAAAAAAAAATTGAAGGACTATTCCAGATTAAGAACTGGAAAGATTAAAACTAAATACGATATTATCATCCTAGATTGCAACTTCTACCAAGAAAAGAAAATAGTTATAAAAGACATTTTTTGAATAATTGTAAAATTAAAGTATGACATAGATAATAATACTGGAACAATGTAAAATTTCTTGTTTTTGACACATGTACCAAGGTTACATATAAGAAAGTCATCATTCTGAGAAAACACATAATGAAGTACTAACAGGTAAAGGGGAAGGATATCTGCAACTTACTATGAAAATGGGAGAGGGAATGAGGGAGAAAAAATAATGATAAAGCAAATGTGGCAAAATGTTAATTGGTGAACCTGGGTAAAGGGTATCTATGGGAGTTCTTTGGAATATTCTCTTGAACCCAGGGGCTCTTTACCACTGAGCTATATCCCCAGTCCTCCTTATTTTTTTGTTTTAAGACAGGGTCTCACTAAGATTGCTGAGAGTCTCACTAAACTGATAAGACCACTTGAAACCGTCCTGCCTTAGCCTTCCCAGTTGATGGGATTCTAAGTATGTGCCACCATACCCAGCCTCTGTAATATTCTCAGAGGCTTTATTTATTTATTTTTGCTGGGCTAGGGATTGAATTTAGAGCCTCACACATGTTACACAAGCACTCTACCACTGAGCTACATTCTCAGCTCTCTCATAGTTTTTAAAGTGTGGAATTAAATCAAAATAAAAAGTTTAAAACACAAGCATCAAAATCAGCAATAATGCCATTAGTAAATATCATGCCCATGCTTTTTCTATGTACTTAATGAAAATAAAAGTTATATACTGACAAATTCTATTGGATAAGCAGCCAGTGTATACTTTGTTATTGTAATCAACATTAAAAAACATTTTAAAGCAGAAAAATTGAGTTTAATGATTTCTTTAAATCATTAATAAAATTTATTAAAAAGGAGCCTATGTTTAGAAATTTTTAAAAAATACCTCATAGGTCAAAGAAGAAATCATTAGAGAACGTAGAAGGTAACAAATATTGAATGATTAAAAATACTACACATAGTTAACATGAAATTCTTCTAAAGTGGTAGACGAAAATTTAAAGTCCTAACTTCTTATTTTAGAAATTAAGAGAAAATTAATGAGCTATAGGTCAAACTTTTTAAATTAAAGAAAGAACAAATAAAAAGAAACTAGAAGAGAAATATAAAAAGCAAAAATTATTAAAATAGAAAACAAAATACTCAATGGTGAGTATTGTTTTAACCAAAAGCAGGAAATACATGAGAAAATTGATTATTGTAATTTATCACATTATTACATGATCATATTGATGGAGGAAAAAACATAATTATGGAAGTAGATACAGACAAAGCACATGGCTAAAAACTCCATAACCATTCATAATTAAAACTCAGTAAGCTAGGAATAGAAACTTTCTTAACACAAAAAAGAAAATCTACTGAAAAGGGTGAAACTTTCATAAAATTCTCAAGACCAAGGCAACAAAACTCTACACTGCTTTTATTTTTCCTTGTATTAAAGATCCTGGCTAGCATAGTAAATCAAGCTTAAAAAAATGGAATGGAAGAAACTGCCGTTATTCACATTATAGTTAAAAGATACTCTAAAAGTCTATAAATAATTAGTATAAATACAACTCAGAAAAGCTTCATCATATAAAATCAATATATGAAAATATCAATCATGTTCCCATTTATAACAAATTTTAAAATATGGTTAAAATATTCATTTTGCAGCAACAACAGAAACTATAATTAGGAGTAAAACTAAAAGAAAAAAACCCTTGCAGACTACATTATTATTATTAGGTGTATATTGCTTCATATAATGTAGAAAATGGTTTAAATTTTATCCCTGGAGCCGGCTTTTTGGTTTTCAATTGGCTGGTTTTCGTTTTTTAGTACTGGGGATTGAACCCAGGAGCACCTAACCACTGAACCACATCCCCAGCCCCTTTTTATATTTTATTTAGAGACAGGGTCTCACTAAGTTGCTTAGGGCCTTGCTGAGTTGCTGAGGCTTACTTTGAATTTTCAATCCTCCTGCCTCAGCCTTCCAAACCACTGAGATTACAAGTGTGTGCCACACCCAGGTGGGTAGTTATTTTTAATGTGTCAAAATCAACTCTTTTTCCTCCTTTACTTAATAAATTTTTGGTAAAGAGATTACCTTAAAAATCACAACTGCCAGGTGCAGAACATCAGAAAAAGCAGGGTAGCAGTGTAAATAAACTTCATTGTCTTCATTGGGTGAACTATTTTACGAATGCACCAAGGAAATGGAGTCATACTGCAATCCTTCAAAGACTGAAAAATAGTAAAATTAAGGTGAAATCACTTCAATTACTGTCCACCTCTTTTTTTCTGTAGCCTCCTCGATTCTTAAGTTTCATTGTGGCCACATTTCAAAGATATATTCCTACAAAACAGTTTCTCTGCTGAGTATCAGAAGGCATATATTGCACAGCAGTTTAGGGCACAGACTAACCAAACATTCTGAGTTCAAATCCCAGCTCAGCTACTTAGTGCTATATAATATATAACTTCTGGCAAGTTACAAACTTCCTTTGACCTATACAAATCTCCTTAGTGGAGTTCTTGTGATTAAACAAATTAAAATATGCAAAGCCCTTATTTATGGCCCATTAAAAACTTCAGCAAATACTATTATTATAATTTTCAATAATTTGAATCACTAAGGAGGAATTATGTAGCTCCTGAACTTCTTGTCTACACATCTTCCTTTCTTTTCTAGCTGAGCACTGCTCTCCCTATAGCCTATTCTATGGTACCTCATTACTCCTCTGGACTGAGGTGAAAATGAGGGAAGTAAAACTCTATGGAATGACATCATATGCTGTCAAAAGTGAAACAGAGCTCATTCTTTTCTATGCTCTACAACCACACCTCATGTCTAGAGCCTCCATGGTTGTCAGTTATCCCCTTATTCATTGACTTATTTACTCAAATTTATCTTGTTTCACTCCAGCTATGCACCAGCCATTAGCCTTGGTCATCCATCCTCTTAAAATTCCCAGCACAGGGCCGGGATTGTGGCTCAGGGGTACAGTGTTTGTTGCACACGAGGGGACCCTGGGTTCGATCCTCAGCACCACGTAAAAAAATAAATGAGTGAAATAAAGGTATTGTGTCCAACTATAAAATAAATAATAAATAAATAAATTCCCAGCACAATACCTATGCAATGCAAATGTTCCACAAAGGTTTACTATATAGATGAGGAATGATGCCTCTCTCCTTTGGATTATAAGGACCTCTGAGACTTGGGTCAAAATTGGTTTTATATTTTGTATTCTACAAAACTCATTTAAATAGGAGACTGCTTTTCTGATAGTAAGAACTAAATTCCTAAAATACAAATCATAACACTTTCTTGAAAATATTCTGTGGTTTCCACTGTTTATGGAATAAACATACTTATTTCCTTAGCATGTTCAAGGCCCTAGGGCACTCTGTCTTCACCTGCTAGTCCTTCTTAGAGTCACAATTACAGCCAAGCTGTTCCCAGAACAAGCATACCTTGAGGCTTTTGTTCTGGAAACCCTAGGCCTAAAACGCATTCTATCTCCCTTCACATGGCAGATGTCACTCACCCTTTAAGGCCCACCCAAAGCTCACCCTTCCTCTTTGATGGCTCACTATTACTACCAGAAAGATTGACTTGACCCATCCTCCATACTTCCTGAATATCTTGAACAAGCAAACATTATGGCACTTGGGTTTGTACATCATGTTGTGACTTTTTTTTTCCTTATTAAACTCTCTCACCTTACACACAGAAAGACATACTTCTGAAGGCTCACCTTACAATCCCCTCTTTTTAGCACAGTGCTGGGCATAGGCATTAGGCCTTCAATACAGTCTTGTTATTTTATTTTGAACTAGGTTCTTTTTAAACGGAAAATTTTGAAAAAACATACATAAGCAGAGACAACAGTATAATAAATCCCCACATAGACATCATCCTGCTTAATTTATCAACTCATGAAAATTTTGTTCATCCTCCGCCCCCACACCTTAACCCCACTGAATTACTTTCAAGCAAATCAAAATATTCAAGTCTATTTCTTTAAAACATTACAATTATCACATCTAAAATATTAAAAATAGGACTGGGGTTGTAGTTCAATCTCGCAAGCGTGAGGCCGTGGGTTCGATCCTCAGCACCACATTAAAAATAAATAAATAAAGTTAAACATGTTGTGTCCATCTAAAACTTAAATAAATAAATAAAATATTAAAAATATCTACTAAATGCCATCAAATATCCATCACTTCATATAAACATATCTTGTGAAAGGGCTTTTTAGTGCCTGCATGTTCTTTCTTCTATTTGGAAATTGCGGAAAGAACATGGAAATACGTAATTAAGCTTCGGAGAGCCTGGGTGACCCAGATGAAAACGAAAGACTCTGACCTGGTTTCGGGTGGGAAATGTATATCTCACTACTTCTCCGGAGGAAGAGGGTGCGACTTCAGGCCGGCAGATGCGGGAGGAGGTGCGGAGGGAAGATCGGTACTACCGCTGTTGGGAGTTCCTTCCGGATAATCCCACCGCGGAGCAAGAAGGCAGCGCTTTTTGGGAGGCTTGGCTTCCCGCGTGTTCCCGGGTGGGAGTGTGGATCTCCCGGAGGCACAAGGTTGGTCCCCCATAAGTGTTATAGGACCCGAGCGACAGTTTTCTCCGATGGGCCCAGGCAAAGCTGAGAGACCTGAGATGGCGGCGGATCCCCTTCAGGAACCAGCTGGCTTCCTCCCGGTTTTTCCTCTTACCGTATTTCCTGTATCCTGAGACGTATATCCCTTCTCCGCCTCCGCACCTCCACCCCGCTACGTACCCCACCCCACTTTAACGTTTCTACCAGGAAGAGACTTAAAAAACTGCGTATTTTTTAATATAATGTTTTACCCTAGCGCCTCCAGATGTAACTATACAATCTATGCGAGAAGCTCAAAATTGCCTCTAAGTGGAAAATTCTGCCTGGTTTATCGATGTCTGTGTGTGGGAGCTTGACGCAGATTTACTTTAGAGCTTTACAATCCAGCTGCGGATGCACATCACAGAGCCATAAAATTACAACCATTTAAAAAGCAGTGTACATACATGTTGACTGGCTGACTAGAGTGCAAAACAGCACATTGATCATGGAAAATGGATATATAAAATAAAGTCACCATATCACAGAATCCAAAATCGCTTTTTCTTTATATTTTAACAAATGTGTAATCTTTGAAGGCTTACTATATTGTTTTCCACGTTTCACTATCTGAGAACTCTCTTGAGACTTGACAATTGATAGCATTCCATACTTTAATTGGCAATATTTTTTCTTTCTTAAAGCCATGGAAAATAATGACTGTCTTACTATAGGTGGTACGCCATATATATGATAAGTCTTAACTAAAAGAAGGTACAGTGTGTCTTAAAAGAAAAGGCTTCTGGACTTAGACCTCATCATTCAAATAGCCCAGTTCCGAGTCCACTTTTTTAGACCATACTTTTCCAGCACCACCTTTGATGTTTTTTAATGACAGATTTCAATACTCAATATCAAAAGAGAACTGGAAATGAAATTGTGCCATTTACAAGCTCTGTGGTCTTTAAGTAATTAATTAAATTCTTCAAGTTTTGGTTTCCAGAGCATAATATTCTCTTCTTGCAAATCTGTTGCCATAATTAGGGATGATACATTAAAATCACTCACTATCATAACTACCTCCCATTTCCATCGTTGCTACCTTCATTCGAGTAGCACCACAGCCCTTTACACAAATTAGGTACTCAGTAAATGTTTGGGAAATAATTAACCCTATTGTTTTGTATCAGATGCTACTAATAAAGACACGAAAATCAGGTATAGCAGTAGCCTAATGAAAAGATGTGAAGGAATACTGAGAGAGTGATTGCTAGAAGAGTAGTTGGTACAACACATAATGTTATGGGAGTCAGCAATGTAGAGGTGGTAGTTGAAGTCATGGTTATGGATGATATCCCTAAGAGAAAAGAGAAATGGGCTAAAAACAGAATCCTTTTTTTCCAAAAATTTTATTGACACTTTTCAGTTATACATAACATTAGGATTCATTTTGATATAATTATCAAAGCATAGAATACAATTTGCTCTAATTCAGTCCTTAGTACTTCCCCTTTCCTTCTCCTCCTCCCCCCACCTGTTCCCTTTCCTCCACTCTACTGATCTTTCTTCTATTTATGTTGTTTTTAAAGTAGTGCCTTGTGAATATACACAATGGGGAAATTTACTGTGGTATATTCATATATGTACACAGGAAAGTTAGGTCAGATTCATTCCACTGTTCTTCCCTTATCCCATCCCTCACCCCCCAACCTCAAACCCCTTCCTCTACTCCACTGGTCTTCTATTTTGATGAAACTTTCCATCCCCCTTTCTTTTCATTTATTTGAAAAACAGAATCTTGAATAGCTAATGACAGAAGAAGAGAAGGCTGTAGCAAAGGTTGAGTAAGAGTGGCCAAAGTTAGAGATAAGAACTCAAATCCAGGAATTCTCAACCTTGGTGCTATTGACATTTGAGAATAGATCATTCTTTCTAATGGTGACCTGTCCAGTGCATTGTAAGATGGTTAGCAGTATCCTAAACCAAGGCTCTACCCATACCATATGCTAGTTTCTTTCCCTACACCTCCCAGTTGTGATGACCAAAAATATCTTCAGAAGTTAGCAAATTTCTTCTGGAAGGACAAGCCCCACCTTGGGAATAATTGGTCTATCTCTAATCCTCCACATCTGTTCCTTTTCTAATTCTCATCTCAGGAAATTTGATGCTCTCCACTTAGTTGTATTTGTAAAAATGAAATTATGTAGTCTTTATTTTTTGAAGAACATTTTCACAATATTTTTGCATCGATCTCTAACTATGCAAAACCAATGATATTAAAAGTTGAAATTAAGTTGTTCTACAGCTATGGTTTTAGTAAATTAAGAGACATGTGCTCGCTGTGGGAAGTGACAGGAATTAAAGTTTATATCAAATCCACTGGGTCTGATTTATGATAAACATTTGACTTGAGGTAAAAATGGTCTCAAATCTGTTGCCACTAACCTGGACTATTTACACTGCAACTAGATTTATGTAATTATTTTTATTGTGGTAAAATGTTCTTAGCAAAAATTTTAGTATTTTAACCATTTCTGAATATACAGGTTAGTAATGTTATGTACATTCATATGATTGTATGACCAATCTCCAGAACTTTTTCATACTTATTAAACTCAAGTCTTCATCCCACCCAGCTTCTGGTAATAATCATCATACTCACAACTATTTTTTTTTTTATTTTTTAGTTGCAGTTGGACACAATACCTTTATTTTATTTATTTTTATGTGATGCTGAGGATCAAACCCAGGGCCTCACATGTGCTAGGCGAGCGTTCTACCTCTGAGCCACAACTCCAGCCCCCACTCACAACTATTTTTTAATTTGTTTCTTTCTGTTATATTAGAAAGGTGTACTAAAGGGCTGGGGCAGCACGAA